GAAAGCTGCTGGGGGGGGGGGGAGGAGAAATGCTTAACTCTTTCCTCACCTGTCATTCCTCCAGATATCCTCCCAAAGGAGCTTTTCTCCACCCACCCCCGCAGGATCCAGCATCCATGTAGGTGTTTTTGAAGCAGACAAATACCTCTTCCCCAAAAAAACATTTTTTATTGAGATGCAAAAAGCTCTCTGGCTTGTGTTTCTCAATGGCAGAAAGCCCTGTAGAAGAGAAGGAAAGGCACTCTGCACATGCTCTATCGCTCCCCCCCCCCCCACCACACGGCCGCAACCCGCCCGGAGCCGCGCTCTCTGGTTTCTTGGAGGGACCCGCCGGAGGAGTCCGTGGGAACGGATCTGAGCCAGCAAGCCTGCGCCTGCTTGCCAATTTCCCCGGCTTCCTGCTCCTTTGTGTCTTTATTCACCAGGTAGCCCCACCCAGTTCAATGGGGAAGAGACCCAAGTGAAGGTTGGTGCAGAAAATGACAGCCTCAAAATAAGCGGCGGGGGAACGGGGGGGGGGAGCAGGCTTTCTACACATGTAGGGTTCTCCTCCCCCAGCGAGTAAAATCGACCCCCCCCAAGGGTTTAGGGAATATGGTTGCCAACTCCAGGTTGGGAAATACCTGAAGATCTGGGGGACGGAGGCTGAGGAGGGTGGGGCTCAGGGAGGGACCTCAGCAGGCTGCTCGGTGCCATAGAGTCCCCCCTCCGAAGCGGCCATTCTCTCCAGGGGAACGGCTCTGTGTCGCCTGGAGCTCAGCTATAACACCGGGAGATCTCCGGTCCCCGCCTGGAGATTGGCAACTCCACATGTGGCCGGGGTTCAGCCAAGCCCGACGCCCCCGCAGCGGCTGGGCTGGCCTCAGGGGCCCCGATCCTGCGCCAGAACGGCCAGGCAGGCGGGCTTCCGTCGGGGAGCAGAGCCAGACGGGGCCTTCTCCGGGCAGCGCGCGCGATCCTAACCGGGGACGGCCACCCACGTGCTCCGCTTCTCACCCCGGGGCTGCCTGGACGGGCAGGGCCGGGAGGAGGAGCTCCCAAGGGACAGGCGCTTCCCTCCCCGATCCTCCGCCTCGGTAATTTTCCGCCCCGAGGGCGCCTCTTTGCGCTCCCCAACGCGAATCCCTGCTCGGCGCCCAGCCCGTGCGCGCCCTCGGGCCAAGCCTCCCCGGGGGCCCAATTGCGCCCAGAAGGGACCGGCCCCCGATTCCTTCACCCAGATCCGCTCCTTAGAAGGATCACAGCCAGTGTTCCCTCTAAGCTGAGTTGGTGTGAGCCAGCTCACCGTTTTTTAGCCTCCGGCTCACCCATTTTTGTCTCCGCTCAGGAAGGAGGGCTCCAGAGCAAACTGATTTAGGCAGGAGCCAAATCACTCGCTCACAACTTTAATGCCGGAAACTCACAACGTAGAATTTTTGCTCACGGGATTCCACAGCTTAGAGGGAACATTGAGTCACAGCCCCCCACCACCACCGACCCCCCTTGGCCAGCCCCTACGATTCACCACGTCCCCCTCTTCCAGCTTGGCAAGAAACCTCTTTACCATCGCGGGGGGCTGGGGGGCGGTTGTGCCTCGTGGATCGCTCCCGCTGCCTGCCCCTATATGTGCCAGATGATCTCCCCCAAATCCTCACATACCCTTGCAAGGGGGGGGGAGACCCTCGAGGCTCGCCCCTGCTGCCCTCTCCCATGTAGCACCCCCAGGGTCTCCATCGGCGCGCCTTCCCGTCTAAGGAGTGCCCACTTCCAATCCCTGGACCCCGCACCATTCCGTCTAGGGGGTCCCCGCTTCCAATCCCACCATTCCGTCTAGGGAGGGCTAATTCTAATCCCTACCCCCCAACCTTTCCGTCCCCAGCTCCGATCCCTGCCCCCCACCACCTTTCCGTCGGGGGGGGGGAAAGCACTTCCAATTCTCTCCCCCCACCCCCCCGCCTAGGAGGGGGGTCCCCAGTTCCAACCCCCCCCCGGTGCCTGCAGCCGATCGCCTTCTCTTCTCCCCCGCGCCCCCCTCCCCCCCCCCCCCCCCCCCCCCGTATGATATTCAACAGGTAAAGCTGCACCCCACCATGTAGGTATGGGGGGGCGACCCCTTGGCAAGCCTCACAAGGGAAGGGGAGGAGGCGCGGGGCAGGGTTCCCAACGCTTTCCCGGGTGCAGGGTGAAAAATTCAACAGGTAAAGCCGCTCCCTGCCATGTTCCTAGGAGGGAGGGAGGGAGGGGGGCGCTTGGTAACCCTCCCCGGGGGAAGGGGAGGAGCGGAGGGCAGAGTTTCCAACACTTTCTCGCATCGCATGCAGTGCCTCTTGTGTGCAGATGTATGATATTCAACAGGTAAAGCTGCACCCCACCATGTAGGTATGGGGGGGCGACCCCTTGGCAAGCCTCACAAGGGAAGGGGAGGAGGCGCGGGGCAGGGTTCCCAACGCTTTCCCGGGTGCAGGGTGAAAAATTCAACAGGTAAAGCCGCTCCCTGCCATGTTCCTAGGAGGGAGGGAGGGAGGGGGGCGCTTGGTAACCCTCCCCGGGGGAAGGGGAGGAGCGGAGGGCAGAGTTTCCAACACTTTCTCGCATCGCATGCAGTGCCTCTTGTGTGCAGATGTATGATATTCAACAGGTAAAGCTGCACCCCACCATGTAGGTATGGGGGGGCGACCCCTTGGCAAGCCTCACAAGGGAAGGGGAGGAGGCGCGGGGCAGGGTTCCCAACGCTTTCCAGGGTGCAGTGTGAAAAATTCAACAGGTAAAGCCGCTCCCTGCCATGTTCCTAGGAGGGAGGGAGGGAGGGGGTCGCTTGGTAAGCCTCCCCGGGGGAAGGGGAGGAGCGGAGGGCAGAGTCTCCAATGCTTTCTCGCACGCAGGGCCCGTTGCGTGCAAATATATACATATTCAACAGGTAAAGCTGCACCCCACCATGTAGGTATGGGAGAGGGGGGCAACCCCTTGGCAACCCCACCCCTGGAAGGGGAGTAGTGGAGGGCAGAGTCTCCAACGCAGTGCCGGTTGAGTGCAAATATATATTGCTATTCAACAGGTAAAGCCGCACCCTGCAGCAACCTGCCATGTAGCTACGGGGGAGGGAAGGGGTGACCCCTTTGCAACCCTCCTAGGGGAAGGGGAGGAGTGGAGGGCAGAGTCTTCAACACTTTCTCGCATGCAGTGCCGGTTGGGTGCAAATATATATTGCTATTCAACAGGTAAAGCCGCACCCCGCCATGTAGCAATGGGGGAGGGAGGGGGTGACCCCTTGGCAAACCTCCCTGGGGAAGGCGAGGAGCGGAGGGCGGAGTTTCCAACGCTTTCTCGCATGCACTGGCGGTTGCGTGCAAATATACATATATATATTCAACAGGTAAAGCAGCACCCCACCATATAGCTACAGGGGAGGGAAGGGGTGACCCCTTTGGAACCCTCCCAAGGGAAGGGGAGGAGCAGAGGGCAGAGTCTCCAAAGCTTTCCTAGGTGCAGTGCGGGAAAATTCAACAGGTAAAACCTCAGCCCGCCATGTTCCTGTAGGGAGGGGGGGCTCTTGGTAAGTCTCCTGTGGGAAGGCGAGGAGCAGAGGGCAGCGTTTCCAAAGCTTTCTTGCATGCTGTGCCCGCTGCGTGTGTATGTGTGTTCAACAGGTAAAGTCACTCCTCTTTGTGTAGCTTTTGGGGAGGGGGGAGGGAGGGGGACGACCCCTTGGCAAGGCTTCCATGGGGAGGGAGGAGTGGAAGGCTGAATTTCCAAGGCTTTCCCACATGCGGTTCCCCTTGCGTACAAAAAAAAAATTCAACAGGTAAAGCCTCCAAGAAGGGGTCCCCCAAGCTAGCCTGTTGCCAAAAGCAAAAGGTGAAGCCGTCAGGCTGCAATACTGGTAAATTGAGTCGGCCCCCTCTAAACTGGGGCTCAATGGGGGGGGGGAAGCTAGTTCACCAACCCCCCCGAATCATAAACAGTTCTTGGGGCCCCTTCCAAAGACTTAAAGTCTAAGTCTGTGTCCATGAAAGGAATCCCATTGGTTGGGGGTGACCCTGAAATGTTTGGGGCTTCTCCTCCCCCAGCTCAAAACCACAAATATAGGTAGGGGATCGTACTTCATTTCCGTTGACAACATCAAAGCAGCCAGAGTGTCGGACTAAGATCTGGGAGACCCACGTTCGAATCCTGACCGCTGCGGTGGGAGCTCGCTGGGGGACCTTGAGCCGGTCACACGCTCTCAGCCTCACCTCTCTCACAGGATTGTTATGGAGGCGAAGAGGAGAGCGACGTGAGCAGCTTTGGTGGTATATAAATCTCTCAAGCTGGAACAATATGTCTCACCCCACTGGATAGGTATATAGACTTTGGTTCGGTATTAAGTCAATAATCATACCCATAAAATATATGGGCGGGGGTGGTGGTGCAGCATGGTTCATTTTGGGACTCTTAACTTAGTCCACTTGCCAGTTTGGTGTAGTGGTTGGAAGCGCGGACTCTAATCTGAGAGAACCGGGCTTGGTTCCCCGCTCCTCCACATGCAGCTGCTGGGTGACCTTGGGTCGGTCACAAGTTCTCCCAGAGCTGTTCTCTCAAGTGCAGTTTTGAAGAGAGCTCTCTCAGCCTCGCCTACCTCACAGGGTGTCTGCTGTGGGGAGGGGAGGGAAAAGGAGTTTGTAAGCTGCTCTGAGACTCCTTCGGGTAGTGAAGGGCGGGGTATAAATCCAGTCTCCTCCTCCTCCTCCTCACGAAAGAGACAATAGACTTTGAGGTGGCTGAACAGAGCCAGGACAGGGTGTCATCTTTTTGGAAGGAAGGCGCAATTCTTATTTTACAAACCGGGCAAGCAACAGAGATGAGATGAGATGAGGAACGAGATGTCAGGATGTCACCCGGAGGGACCCAAGGAAGAGGAGCTCTGTTTCAAAAGAAGATTGGATCAGTGTTGGGTGTGCCGGCCGCTCCCAGCCCAGCTGGGGATGAATTCTCTCTAACCACAATGATTCAGTGAATCATCCGCCAAAGAAGACGCATAGACTATTCTGCGAAAAGCCCAGTTCTGGAGAGGTCGCGGCGTCACAGTGCAAGCCAAAGAACCATTTTCCCGGGATTCGAAGCAGACCTGGGTAAGAATGGTTGCTGTGAGAGAGCTCCCTGCAAAAGTCTTCCTGAAATCTGATCTCTTTTGTTCCGTTTCTTCTTGTTTTATAAAAAGGCCTCGGAGGTGCTAACTGGCTTCCTAGGGGCGCTCCTGCTAGAGGAACTGAACTTTTCTGTGGTCTCGGCTTCCTTGTTCAAGTCAACATTGACCCTGCCAAGAAAACCAAACGGGGCAGCCCTACTGATTTTTTCGGGTTGCAAAATTCCTGGAGATTTGGGGGGTACAGATGGAGGAGGACGGGGGTCGGGGAGGGGAAGGACCTCCGTTGGTATGACGCCATTGAGTTCACCCGCCGAAGCAGCCATTTCCTCCAAAAGGAACAGATCTCCGTTGCCTGGAGATGAGTTCGAATTGAGGGAGATCTCCAGGCCCCATCTGGAGGTTGGCAGCCCTGTTTATCAGTTAAAGTTTTCAACAGCTTTTTTAGTGTCCTAATTTTTATCTGCAGAAATCAGCGAGTGACCGAGGTGTGTGTGTGTTTCTCTCTCTGAAAAGCTTTGCCGGCTAATTTTTGGCAGGTGGTGCTACTGGTAAAGGCCAAAGAGCAACCATGTTAGTTTGGTGGACAACCAGTTGGCAACCAGAGGCATATCTGTTGCCACACCGGTCCTACAACACAAAAACAGACTGCAGATGGCATTGTGATTCCCTGGTGCCTTTTGAGGAGGGGGCTGTGGCTCAGTGGAAGAGCCTCTGCTTGGTGTGCAGAAGGTCCCAGTTCTATCCCCGGCATCTCCAGTTAAAAGGACCAGGCAGGAAGTGATGGGAAAGACCTCTGCCGGAGACCCTGGAGAGCTGTGAAGAGGGGCTGTGGCTCAGTGGCAGAGCCTCTGCTTGGTGTGCAGAAGGTCCCAGGTTCAATCCCCGGCATCTCCAGTTGAAAGGGCCAGGCAGGAGGTGATGGGGAAGACCTCCGCCTGAGACCCTGGAGAGCTGTAAAGAGGGGCTGTGGCTCAGTGGCAGAGCCTCTGCTTGGCGTGCAGAAGGTCCCAGTTCTATCCCCGGCATCTCCAGTTAAAAGGACCAGGCAGGAAGTGATGGGAAAGACCTCTGCCGGAGACCCTGGAGAGCTGTGAAGAGGGGCTGTGGCTCAGTGGCAGAGCCTCTGCTTGGTGTGCAGAAGGTCCCAGGTTCAATCCCCGGCATCTCCAGTTGAAAGGGCCAGGCAGGAGGTGATGGGGAAGACCTCCGCCTGAGACCCTGGAGAGCTGTGAAGAGGGGCTTTGGCTCAGTGGAAGAGCCTCTGCTTGGTGTGCAGAAGATTCCAGTTCTATCCCCGGCATCTCCAGTTAAAAGGATCAGGCAGGAAGTGATGGGAAAGACCTCCACCTGAGACCCTGGAGAGCTGTAAAGAGGGGCTGTGGCTCAGTGGCAGAGCCTCTGCTTGGCGTGCAGAAGGTCCCAGGTTCAATCCCCGGCATCTC